GGTGGTGGTGGTGGTGGTGGTGGTGGTGGTGGGTGGGTGGGTGTGTATGTGTGTATGTGTTGTGTTGTGTTTTGTTGTGTAATCTCGATGCTTGTAAAACGTGTTTTCAAAAACAGGCGTGATTTCTTTTGTGGGGAACCCTTGACTCCCCCACACCTTAAAGAGAGGACTGGAGGAGGGTCAGGCAGAAGCGTGGGAGAGGCTGAACTCACACTTACCTTTGAGCAGTGAACGAGGTGAGAGTGGATTTTGGCGCTTTGTTTGTTTTGTTTTGTTTTCTGTTTCTTTTAACAAGTCCCGAGTTCTGGGGACCCTGGAGGGTCCAGCAGGGTCCGGGTGGGGCCGCGCCGGCTGGGCGGAGGGAAGCGGGAGCGGGTCGCCGCGCCGGCCGCCTCTGGCCGGCAGGGGGCTCCTTCGCTCTTCTCCAGGCTCGGTGGGCTCAGCCCCAGCGGCCCGGGACTTGGGCGGGGCGGGGGATTTGGGGAGGGGAAGGCCGCGGGAGGAAGGCCAAGGGCTGAGAAAGATCTACGGGACAAGTCCCACAGTGGAGTTCCCCCGAAAACCCGCAGAGCTTTCCCTGGGCTTCTTTAGACTTTGACGAATCCAGGAGGAGCTGGCGTTTTCCAGAACAGGGTCGGACCTTCGCCTCGCCCCTCTCCAGGATCCAGTAGCGCTGTCTTCTTTCCTGGCCAGGTTACGTTGGGCCGGGGCCCGCAGCATTCCCTTTGAGGGCGTGGAGAGGCCGGCGGAGGTCGCTGGCCCTGACCTTGGAGGACCAGAAAGGGAGCGCGGGCCCGGGGGTGCGGCGGAAAGCCTCCACTCCTGGAGCCCTGCTAGCGCCTGGGTGCAGACTACGCCTCGCACTTTTGGGTCTGCAAAGCGCAGGCCCATTTGGCCAGAAGAAGCAACCAGACCACCTTTTGCTTCCTCTCCTTGATCTGAGATTCAGGGTGAAGGTTGAATTTTCGCTCCCTTAACTGTCTTGGAGGAGGCACGGGTCCGAGCCAGCGCTGATGGGCTGTGGCTGCTGAAACTTAAAGAGTAGATAAGATTAAAACAGTCTTTGCCTTGCTTCCGGGCTTCAGAGCTGCGGGAGTCGACCCTGGTTTAGCCCCCAGGCCAACCTAGGAGACCTGGCCTCTAGCGTTCTTAAGACCCTCTCAAAACTGCCCAAGAACTGGGACCTGTCGTTAGCTAACCTCGATCAAGAAGGCAATGTATCTAAGAGGGTCTCTCACACCTAAGTTTTTTGATCTGCAATGGTAGTGATAGCTTGGAATTTGTGTAAAGTTTCTTCCCTGGATGCCCTCTCCCAAATCCCCCCACACCTCACTTCTGCACCGGTACCACGCCCACTGTATTTCCATTTGAAAACCTCTGGAAACTTAAGCACTGTTAAGATGATCTCTCTCTCTCTCTCTCTCTCTCTCTCTCTCTCTCTCTCTCTCTCTCTCACACACACACACACACACACACCACTGTGGAAACTGAGTTGAGTCACAGGAAGCATATGAATAGGATTGGATGGTCTTTGACTTCTTAGGAATGCCTAATAATCCAAAATTCCGGATATAACACAACTACAAGGTTTCTAGGATTCTTTTCTGATCTTTTAGAAGCAGAGTGGTGATAGAAGAGAAGGATTATGTCTTTTAGGGCACTTGCTGGCAACCTGCTATGCCCAGTAGGAGGAGAACTTTAAAAACAATGTTTCTGGCAGAGTGCTTGCCTCACACATGTGAGGCACTGGGTTGGACCCTCAGCACCACATAAAAATGAATAAACAAACAAATAAAAACAATGTTTCCTTTAATTCATACTCAAAGGTCAATTGAAACACTGCCCCCACCCACCCACCCACCCCCACACACACCCCTCTCTCTCTTTTGGATTCTAATTTAAAACAACTGTATTGATAGGCATTTGACAGGCATTTGAATCAAGACAAGTGAAATTTCAAGCTCAATAGTAATGTGTTTCTGTATGTACAATCATGTATAATCATATCATATATGTGATATATGATTTTGAAGGGGAGATGAAATTTTTTCTTTAAAAATATTCACTCAATGACAACTAGAAATGTCAGCTGCAGACAACCAGTTGCTATTCTGGCTACAACATGTTTGTGCATTTAGTAGTCCAATAGCCTTGTCCACTTGTCCTCTTTGCTTGGAGGAGTAATGTTAATTAATTGTAGAGGTAAATGTATAGATCTTAATGTATAGATAGTGTTTTCTTGCAAATGCAATAAAACACTCTAAAATGTAAGGGAATAGAAATAGGTGTTCAGGGGTTGTTTGTTGGTGGTGATTTTGTTTTTAGCTTTACTAAAATTATGACACAGTTATCCCCATATCTCCATTCTGGAGGATCTGGAAAAGCATCAGTGGTTAGGATAAAACATCATTCAAGAAAGCCCTAAGTCTTACCACTAACTTTGGTTTAAATCTTTTATGAGTATTCAGAATAGCTTTAAGATTGCAAAATGCAGTTTGTTTTACTAGCTATTTCTTCACATTGTTGAAATAATGTGTTTAAATAGACTAGACAAAATTCTTATTGATTGTTAATTTGACATTAGGATATACAAATTTTGTATACAATATTCAATTTTTCAATGTGATATGTATTTAAATAACAGGGAGTTTCATTGCTGGCTTCTTTACAATGCAATGTGAATAACCACATCTTTGACTTCCAAATATGAAAGATTTTTTCCTTAAACCTTCTGAAATAATTCTCATAAACATGCTCCTCTTTCTAATAATATGGAAAAGTTGATGCGATTTAATTTCTATTCTGTCAATTATAAGTTTATTTCATCTTGGCAAGGTGCTTTATTTGGAAAAGTTGATTATGGCTAAGGATTGTTATATAGCAGAAGCATGAAATAATGTTTCATTTCGTAATCAAGAAAAAAAAAAAAACACCATAATTGTCCCCGCATCATGTCAGCAGTGGGAAGAACATGAAAGAGTTTGATTTGAATGCACTTTATTGAGTCTACCAAGAGCACATTGACATCAAGTAGTAAATTGCCCAGGACTACCTCTTTATCATTGGGAAATCATAATTTCAGTTCTGTCACACTTGTTTTTGAATTCTTCTGGTTCTTGTGGGAAAAGAGTGAGGGAAGATAGAGAAAATTATATTAAGTGCATCAAGGTGTTTTGTGGATCACAACAAAGTGCATGGTCTGCTCAATCCACCTAAATTCTCAAGATAAAATAATCAGATTTATCTTTCATGTTCATTTTCCCCCAAAATTTTATATACCTGTAATGAAAAAGCTTAATACATGAAAACAAAGTTTAAAAATTGACTCTATTTAAATGTTGGAATAGACTAAATAACATGACTACCATCAATTTCCTGAGTGCTTGGCCAAATTCTGCCTGCACTTTCAGCCTAACCTGCAGGGGGCAATAGCTTGACACGAATGACAACAAAGATTGCTGAGCTATTACATTAGACTTGGATTTCAGACTATGACCCTGGAATGTTGTGTAGGTTGGAAAGAGTGCTTAATTAATGTATATTGAAACAAAAGATCAGGTAAATTGTTTGATTTGTCTTCAAGCTATATTTTTAGATTAATCTAATTCATAACTGCTAGGTTGTTGCTTTTTTTCTTAAAGAGATTATCAAAGTTTCAGGAGACACATTCAGTTATCTCAAGAATTATCCTAAACACTAATTGTTTACTACAGAATTTATGAAATGTATGTTCTATTTTTAAAAAGGCAGCGGAATCAAAGTTTTGAGTGTTCACATGGATGACAAAACGAGAATAAACGTGGAATATTTAGAAGGGATAATAAAAGAATGTCACATGTCTAGATGATAAACTCCATATTCCTCATTTAAAAATCTTATAATTGCAAATTGACGGGGGGGACAGTCACCCTACTGTTTGCAATATGTTTTCTTTCACATATAAAACATCAATTTTGAAAACTGGTCTATATTTAAATATCATGATGAACTAATAATAAAGTGATCTCTCTTTTATTCTTATTTTTATTACAGATAGAATAGAATTTATTGGTTATTGATAATCTACCCTCTCTCTCCCTCCCCCTGGGGATTTCCACTCCCTTCCCCATTTCTGTATCTTCCCCACCAACTGATCAGGAAAGACTGGAAAGAGACCAAAGAGGTTTCGGATGGAGGGAGTAATTGTAAAATTAAAAAAAAAAAAAAATCCTCTCCCCATCTCCAAACTGCAATCACACTTAATGGTTCATTATGTCAGTTTTAAATGATACAAAATGACTTGCCCAAAAGGCATCCTGATTTCAAGAAGTCAAAAGGATACCTGGCATTAAACAACCATGAGTCAATCCTAGTGGGATTAACTGGGCTGAGTTTCTATATACAGCACATGCTATGGATCTACTTTGATCACAGTAAGGAAAAAAAATGATAATAGATTTTTTTATAAAAGAATTGCTGCACAGGAGTGTTCCGTTTCTTTTATATGGCAGAGTTTGATCTTGATAAAAACCTTTTTAAACATCCTTTCCCCCCACCATGGTAAAGATATGGTATCTATTTTTGCTTTCTTTAAGGAAAGAATATGGGGGTTGCTTACACTAGGAAAGAAAATTTTATTCTCCAACACCCCCCCTCCCATTCTACTAAATCGTTTTAGTCGACATATGTTTGTTATCAGAGAGAGGTGCTGTGAACACACAGCCATTTTCTTAGCAGCTTTTTGACTGTATGTTACCATAGTCCCACAAGGCATTGGTCCTTTCCCATTGGGAAGTCATGAATAAGAGACTATGAAGCTCGCACGTCAGATCTTCCTCAATTAATCCACCATTAGCATGTTTGGGATCCACTACTGGATGGTTAACAGCAGCTTTTGTAACTGTATGCCGACCATACCCAGTTATGCTCTGCTAAAAATGAACTCTTTGCAGACCAACCCTCTCGGGCTGTCAGTGTTTTCCGTTTTCCTATTTTAACGTTTGTGTATAGTGGCAGGCGACAGATGGTGTAGATCAGATCGATTTGATTGCATTAGATGATTTTTCCCCCCTTCTCCACTCCTTTCTGGAAGCTCGCATCAGCTGAAGGCTATCGCCTGGGACTCCTCGGAAGCGTGAGCAAGCCGCCACCACGCGAAGGCACTGGGGCACAGCCAGCGCGAGGCGCCAAGGTCCCTTCCCAGGGCTTGTTAACACTGTAACCCGGCACTCGGAGGGAAGCAGCTCCCGCTGCCCAAAGCCTACCTCACCGCACATCAGATGACTCCCTGGCTTCTACACACAGTTGGAGTTCCGCTTGAAACCTGGATTTAGAGGGTAAGCACTTCAATCGAGATGGATTTGTGGACAGTTACTTTGCTATACCGCAAGACAAATCTCAGCAAACGTAAAGGATGTAGGATGTGTGGGAGAGGGAGACTATGTTTACATCGATAAATGTGTTTCTTTTTGTCTGAGAACGAGAGTATTATTCAGTAAAGATGTGTATAGTGTTTTTCCATTGATTGTAAGAGTCAACTACCACCCTCCTCCCGATTTTTTTCCCTCTCCTTGGTGTTTCCCCCCTTTCTACTTGAGAGGGAAGGAGAGAGGGAAAGAGGGAGGGAGCCAAGGGGGGGGGGAGAGAGAGAGAGGAGAGAGGGAGGGAGGGAGGGAGAGATATTTCTGCTTTAGCTTAATTGGCTTATTTCCTCAAACCGATTGCTTTGTCGCGTTTCTTTATGTATATTTGGTTTCTAATTACCAAGCCTTTAACTGGGATGGGTATTGGAGTGTGGGGGGATAGGGTGGGAAAGTAGTGGGGACCAGCAGTCAGTCGCGGTGGCCTTGAGGGATCGAAAGGTGCTGAAAGCCCCCCTGGCAGCCAAACACACTTCTAGTTATTGGGGCGCGAGAGAAATGTAGATTCTAATAAACATGGCTTGCAGGAGTCGATGAACAAAGGTACTTAATGCGGACCTAAGCCTCCGCTGATATTGCTCCGCTAGCAGTATCTAAATATTCAAAAGCAAAGTGTAAGTTGATCAACAAACGCCCTGATAGTATTGGGCTTTTTCCCTTTTCTGTTTTTGTGTGGAGGGTGGAGAAGGGGGGAGGGTAGATGGGTGGGGGAAATCCGACAGCTTAAGGAGGTTTGAATTGAATATGCACCCAGCGGCAGTGGTCTCATAGGAAATGGTGTTCTCGTAAGTCAGGCTGCCCCGCCGAAGAACGAGAGCGCTTTGGTTAGAGCTCAGAGCGTCAGTTCTGCTGCAAGTGCTGCCGGCAGTCAGCCCGGGCTGAGCTGTCCACTCGTCCAGGTGCTGAAGCTGGTGGAACATTTGGGTAGGTAGGGAAAAAGCTGGCACTGCTACTTGGGTAGGAAAAAAGCCTATCAACTGCGTTTTTCTAGTTTTTTTAAAAACGTGTGAGTCTGTGGGTCAAAGTGCGTGCGTGCGTGTGTGTGTGTGTTTGTGTGTGTGTGTGTGTGTGTGTGTGTGTGTGTGAGAGAGAGAGAGAGAGAGAGAGAGATTTATTTTAATTGTGAAGAAGCTAAAGTAAAGCAGACTACTTAGGAAGCACTGAAAAGGTGAAAAGCTGTGTGGGTATTTGTGCTGTAATTCTGATGCACTGTGTGTTTCTGTGGTGTGTGTGTGTGTGTGTGTGTGTGTGTGTGCATGCTTTAACCATTTTTTGAATTAAAAAACATTCCATTTAGTAAATCAAATCCTATCTTTATAATGTGTCTTGTTTTCCTTTTAATGGTAGTTGAGATTTAAATGGAAGAGTTCAGAAGCAAATGTACACTTTGCTCATAGACTATTGCATTACTTTCCCTAAGGGCTTTTGTTTCTAGGAGTTCAAGCTGAAGAGAACCTGTCAGCTTTCTGGATTTTTTTTTTTTTTAGCATTAAAGAAAAGCTCCACTCTGTACCTATGTTAGGTAATGGCAGAAAATAGTGGCTTATTAATTTATTTAATTGGCATCAGTCTTGTTGTAAATGGTGTACTTAAGAGTTATCTGAAAATAACATAAAATAGGCTAGTAATTGATCAATGCTATTTTTTCTTTGAGTTATTTTAAGCATCAGACATTATATACTAAACATCTGCTCATAAAACCTAGAATTCATGTTGATTTTCTATTTGTAAGTAACATGTCAGGAAAATGATGAGTTGGTGTGCCTGGAGAAGTGTTATATTTTTAAAAATGATAAGAGCAAATACAACCTAAGTGCCTTGAATTACAACCAGGTCAGTTAGAGATGAGTTGTGGTAGTGGGAGAGATTCAGTTATATAATTACTTCTTGATGAAGAGCTATTTGCACTTACATAATTTGAGAAATCATAATCATCTATTGCCATGTTTCCATATTCCTTCCCTATTCCACTCACATGGATGTACTTCCATGTATTTGAGAGTAAAGAGGAAAGCAAATTGAGAACTTTCTAATGGTGCTACAACATGTCTTGGGTAGTGACGTTGCACTTGTCCATTCTACTTAGTGAACAATAAACCCCTATTATCAGAATATCCACTGCAGGGTCTTAAGACAAAGCTTTCAAGTAAGAGCCATATTGATCATCAAAGAATCACAGAGATTCTCTCTCTGAATGCCAAAATTAGTTACTTTGCAAATAAGTTTCATTGGCTTTCTTCTGAAAATTATTTTTTATGCAGACAGAGCTTCAAAGGTTTTCATGTAAAGGTGTTCACAACAGCTGCACAGCATTGCATTTACACTGTATATTACAAGGATGGGCTGTGAAATTAAACATTGTGCTGGTACAAAACGATGCCTAAATCATAGAAACTCTACCAACTTGTCAACTTAGTGAGTTCAGATACTATGGAAAATGGGTTTAATTATTTTGTGTCTTGAAGCTTTATTTTTCCTCTAAAAATCATGTTGTATATAGCTCTAAGGCCTTCAAAGGAGAGATGCCTATTTTTGTAGATCTATAAGTATTTGATTTCAAGTAGTAAATTGAATGAGTGTTTATATTCTGTGATCTTGGGCTTGAGAAAATGCATTTCCAAAACACACTGCTGAAAATTTCATCCATGCATGACACTATCTTTATTTGAGCCTCACTTCTTCCTAAAGCCGTCTAGGCAAATACATTTGTAATATTTGTGTGCTTAACTGTGCATGTTTCTTACAGGGTTCTCTCGCTGCCATGACACTCCATCAAAGCACCTAGAGTGGGCTGGCTGAGACCAGAGTGGGCACGAAGTAGAGCAAGTACAGAGGAAAACACTGGGAAATCACCAGGTAAACTGAAGGTTACTATCACTTCCACCCTGTGCCCAAACAGCCTTGCCACATTGTCCCTCCTACTTGGGTAGAGAGCACTCTTCTTCTGGGTTAAGTGCTTGGTTTTGTGATTTGTCTTTCAGAATTGGAAATAGAGCAGCCATTTGGATTTGATCAAGAAGCAGCCGAGCTCGGCTTTGGATCCTTCTTTAGGGAAATCGAGTTATGGATTTATGGTCCCGGTCAAGCTCAGCCCAGCCCCAGCCAGGGGCGGGCTCAGTAGCAAGAGTTCTGGAGGCAGCAGCGGCAGTAGCAGCGGCAGCAGCGGCAGCGGCAGCGGCAGCGGCAGCTTGGTCCTCTGACTCTCTTCGGTGACGGGTATTCTTGGGTGGATAATACGGATTACGTTGTTATTGCTTAAGAATACGCGTAGTCGAGGAGAGTACCAGCGGCAGGCGGGCAGCGGCCGCCCCTCCCAGCCCACCAGCTGGCCACTAAACGCCCGTGGTTGCCAAGGTAGCACTTGTTTTTTTTTTTTTTAATCTTTCCCTTTTCTCGGGTGTTTTTTTTTTTTTTTTTTTTTTTGCTCTGGGTCCGCCAGAAAGGCTGCGCACAGTGTCCCTGGTGCCCCAGACTGTAAAATGGGTGCGCGGAGGGGGGCGGGGGACGTGGCGGAGGGGAGGGGAGGGGCGAAAAAGGAAGGTGGTCCGTGCAGCCGAGCCTGTGGGGCGATTTGGCGTTTCCCCCGCAGGCTAGCATCCCCGGTCTTGTGGGATGCGGCCAGCGGGTAGAGACGCGGACTGGGAGATTCTCTAAAGTTGGGAATGACTGAAAGGCCTTGAGCAGTTTGGCAGCGTCGTGAGCAAGTAGCTGGAGCTCAGCAGAGGGTCGCTGGGGGCTGCCTCCGCAGAAAGGGCGTGTCCGTGGGCGAAGGTGCCCCCGCGTGCTTGCCGAAGCTCGTGACTTCGCGAATCCCGGGCCGGGGCGGTGCCGGAGCCCCACCCCCGGCCGGCCGAGCCACTCCGCAACCAGACGTGGCGGCCAGGCTGGAGAGGGGCGGGGGACTGGGGGCTGGGTCCCCGCGGAACTTTCAGATTGGAAGTGTGTTGGGTCTCCCAGAAACCCAGGTTTTCTTTTCGGATTCTCCGCGAAGAGGTGGAGAAACAGGATGGGAACCGGATTGGTTGCACTGTGGCACGGAATTGGAACCTTCCTGAAAGAGGTTGGGGCAGGCAGTGACTGTTCAAACGTCCGGTATCTTTGGGACACCACCTCAGCGCTGCCTTCCCTGTCTCTGCCTTTAGGATGAGTCTCAAACACCAACAAACCCAAGGCACGATCTCCCTCTCGGGTTTGCTACGAGGGGACGGGAGGAAGAGAAAGCGTTTCCTTCCTTCTACTTCCAGTTTTTATTTATTTTTTTTTTTTTTCAAATACTAATGGACGATAAAACAATACGGATTTGTCCCCTCTTAGCGAAGAGCAAGCAACCTCCCATCGACTCCTTCCAGCATCCCTTGGCACTCCCGGGGACATCCGGACATGGCAGGATTTGAGATGCCCAAGATGGAGCTGGAAAGGATCCACAGTGGAAGGCGCGGGCGGAGGCTCTCAAGCTCTCAGCTCTCGCTGGCGGAGGACCACATAGCTCTGCAACTCGCCTTTCCTTTTTGCGAGGCGCCAGGGCCACTCCGGTGGTAACACTTCAAAGGTGGGAGGAGACATGCTGGGTACAAGAATGTACCAGGCGCCCAGAAGGTTCCACCAAGCCTGGCAAGATACTAAGAACGAGTTTCCTCCCTACGTGGTGTTCTTTGGTTGTGTATGGGACTTCGAAGACCCAGTTCCTGAGAAGTCGAACGAAGATGTTGGAGAAATAAGATAAAATTCGAAGCTCTTCCTTGCGGAGCCCCTGGACCCACTCTAAACTGAGAGGCGCCCTTGCCACCTTCTCCCTCTGGAGGTTGTGCCTTTCCCGGGCACGATTTGCATCTTTTCCACTGAGTTCTTGCCCACAAGAGCAATCAGAACCCTGGAGAGGCAGAGTGAGAGGTCCTTTGGAGGAAGCAGACATCCTGGCATGCATGCCTTCCAGTGTCTCGCCTTTATTCCAGTAGTTAGGATTCCTAGTGAAGGGTACTCCATGCCCTTCTTCTCCCTACCCTCATCCTCGGTCCTACCTGGCCTTGTCTGATCCCACAGGGACTCTTGGGGTATCTGCACTCAAAACTCTTGCACGTTGGCAACATTGTCTGGAGCGGAGGAGAGGGAGGGGGAGGGGGCGGGGGACGGGCGGGGGGACGGATGAAGGGGAACCCTTTTTCAGATGCTCCCAGAGGCTAGTCCATTTTAAGAATGAGATGAAGTAGGAAAGAATACATAGTTTACTATCTTTGCACTCAGCATTCTATCACTAGCAAGAAAATATGAAACTTCTGTTGTTTCCTTCATTGTTTCATGATTACCCTCTTTATGTAGAGATCCACTGATTGGTGGTTATGGGCCTTTAAATGTTGTGTTAAGTTTTTAACAAAATACAATATGTCTACTGATGGCATTGTTTCACTGAAAACTAGAAAAGTAGAGAGAAGTGGCATAATCTAGTTCCAAGGTGATCTCTGAAAAGTTGGCCTCATCCTGGTTGGCTAAATAATGTGTGTAGGGTTTAAAGGCGAACAGAGATGAGGGCTTGCGTTAGGATTTGTGAAAAATGAAGTTGTACTAGTCCACCGTTTGTTGTGGGAATTAGGACGAACTTTTGAAAAATAAGCTATTTTTTTTTCAGTTGTTTGGCTCTGGCACTTAAAGCTTATGATTTCAATTGCTTTGTAAATAATAATAAGTTTTAGAATGGAATAATTTAAATGCTAGTAATGAAATCTGGGTGTCTCTACTCATGGTAAACTAAGAATTTTGACTTTTTAATATAGTAGTTTAAATATTTATTGCTTTCTATTCTTCACATAATTATTTTGTTATAAAAGTTTCCATTAGGTGTCAGTCTGACTGAACTCATTCCTGTTTGGGGGCTGGGGGTGGGGGTGGGCAGGGTGTTTCACCAGTCCAGGTCTTTTAAAATGAGGTGGTGGGGGGTGCTTTATTACATTGAAATTACTGTAGTTAATTGTTTTTGTTATAATACAGTTTTTCCCTACAGAAAATAAGATTTTAAATTACATCATCACTAGCCAATTATTGCTTTTTCCCTGTCTGTACCCCATAACCAAGATGACAGAAGTGCCTAGTGCTTGTCTGGAGTTTCCATATTAGACCCAGGTCACATTTGGTAGTAATAATTGTTTTTCAGTTGATGTCAATTGATACCCATGTACTTGAAGAGTAGGCATCCTTTTCCTAAAATTGTCTTGCCTTAAAAAGGTGATAGAACATCACCTATCTGAAAATGAATATGGGTATATCTTTATCTATTCATTTAATAATATTATGGCATAGTGGAGGGGAATAGAGAAAGCCACTGAAAATTATTTTTGTTCATTAGTTTTACTTAAATCAACATGCTAAAATTCTCAAGCTTTTATGAGCACAACTTATGGCTTACAGATGGAAGATTTTAGGTTTTACATCAAAATTTATTAATATAATGTCTATGAGCACTCAATTTTATACATTACTAGTATTAATTAATAGATGCACGATACATAATCTCAGTAGATGGCAAGGGTAAGGAGATTGCTAGAAACTGCGTTATACAAAGAATTTGCTTATTTTATTCTTTGTGTTTATGAATCAAGTACTGATGATTTCACTTGAATAAAATTACAGGAATAGTGGTATTCAGGATTAAAGATTCATACAGGCCCATCATAATTCCTGTGTGAATAAAAAAAATATTGGATTGATGACTTTGACCAAGTATGCTTTTTAATAAATAATCATAACCTAGAGTGAGGATTTTTTATTTTTTTAAATTTTATTTATTTATTTATTTTTGCTAAAGCCATCACTAGCGCTAGGATGATGTGGTTCTTGGTGTCCCGGCAGTAACAGTCTAGAACCAAAAGAGCTCCCATTGAAAGTCTAGGCAAAGGAGAAAAATGATAAAATAGCATTTGATTGATGGAAAATTCCACGAACCTTGTTATCATTCTTTCTTATGTTCCACATTAGTAGTGGTTAATTTTCTAGTATAAAAATAGGAAATGAAGGTGGAGATGATGAGGATATCAGAAAATATTTTTGTGTATTATGTAGAACAGAAGGACTAAGGACATAGAAAAGATGGCAGTGAAACACCATCACAATTACCCACCATCTTCTCAATACCATACAGGTGCAGTTATCATTGTATCACAAAAATGACAGTGATATTCATACAATGTTAGAGAGTAGTATATTCTATATTTTAGATTTAGTGCTTGAAAATTTCCTTTGAATTTTTTTCAGTTAGAAGAAAAAATAATATTTACTACATCAGAATGCTTGAAGCTTTTTAAAATTGTCATTTAGCTATTACATTTAGTTATTGATAGCAATACGACTATACACCTAAGGCTAAATAGGTTTTAAGAAATACTTTTGTCATATAATTTGTTTTTAAAATATTTCAAGAGCTTTCTCCTTGCATTTACACTTTTAAATCATTACTTATAAGTCTAGAATTTCATTCTACAAAACATTTTGCATGAGTGTATAAAATAGGCCTTTAAATTAAGAAAACATCGCAGTTCATCCACAAAAGAATAAGATAAAAAAGAGATATTATGAAAATTTAAATTTCTTGAAATATGTTTGGTTGAGTGTGTTTAATATACACTAATAGAATCAATGTATTTCTAATGTTTGTACTGGCCAGATCACAAACTTGTGACTACCTAAATCTTTTGGGCTCTGTTACATTCTGGCTAACAATTATATGAGCTAAGAAAGACAAACTGATCTTTAAAACCAGTAACCAGTAGTAGAACATATAAATAAGTGTAAACACAACTCTTTTCATTTGCTTTGTTTGTGGTAATATCTTTAAAGATTCCATACCACATTTAAAAAAACTAAAAACAAAAACCTTCTGTGAATTTAGTTGGAAGGATTTTAAATAAAACTTATCACATTTGTTTTATTAGCTTAAAATCAATACTGCATCTCGTCCAATTAAATTTCAAAATACAAACATTTCTATAGTGTATTTGCTGACAGCTGACACTATATTCTTGATTTAAATATAATTTATATCATAGTAATCTTTTTTGAAAGTTGACAAAGTATCATAGTGACATAATTGCACAATTTGAAAGCATGCCTATTTATAAATTAGTAAAATTGTGCTCTCAGTGCTGTTCTTATAAAGATTATTTTTATAAAAATGATATATAAGTAGAATATTGTGATTTTATTTTAAAAATTGTATCCAATACATGAATGAGTACTAATTAATTGTTTGAAGTCTTTTTTTTTTTTTCCTGCTGAGCAACTGTGGTCAATTTCAAGAATGGGTTGAAATAAGTCACAAAATAAGCTAAAACTTACTTATTTGAAGTAGTTTATCTCTACACACACCA